ATTCAGCATTTCCTTCTCCTTGTCACAGCTGACATCCGCCTGTACTGGCTCCTGCAGCCAAACTGCCAGGCGGTCCTACTTCTCCAAATACAGACTTAGAGGCCTGACCCAAGTGGCCCTCCTCTACATTTCAGCTGTCCCCACTGTGCTGCCCGTACTGCACAGCTAGCCTGAGGTTGGATCCCTAGTATTCCTGCACATCAGTCCCACGGCTATGAAACTGCAACAGCTAAATGGAACCTCCAGGTTCAAGGGCAGGCTACCTCTCTTGCTGGGGACAAAGGAGGGCTTTTGCATCCATGCTCTGCTCCCAGAAGCATCAGACAGTCCACTATTAGGGATGCTGGCCTATAGGGACCTTTTTCCAGAGCCAACAAGGCTTTTCTTGCATTATAAGGAACGGAAGTTAAGAACAGAACCTCTACGTGCAGAGGCAGTCTACCTCTTGATGCCAGCTCCAGGAGGAAAAGAAAAGAGACGGGCTTCTGGCTTTCAGGCCCTGCTTGGGGGCTTCCTGGGAGCATCCAGGTGGCCACTGGGGGGGCCATGGTGGCAGGCTCTTCTTGTGACTTCCGGGCCACAGGGCCACGTAAGCCGCCTCCCACTGCCTTCTCCTACAGCTGAGAAGCTGGAACTTCTCCCCCTCCACTAGTCACTGGCTGAGAGGTTCCAGAAGACTGGAGGCAGGACAATGGCTGCAACAGCAGGCTCGGGTCAGAGAAACCTCTCCGGCCAGCCTCTCTGCTGTGCAACAGCCTAGAGCACTCCCAAGAAGGGAAGTCAGGGCTGGACTGCAGCACTGGACAAAAGGAGTCTCTAGATCTGCTCTTGATGGGGCTCTCTAGATGGGAGCACATCCAGCCTGTGCTGAAGGCGTTGCACTGGCTGCCAACAGCATACCGGATTCATTTCAAGGTGCTGGTTCTTACCTTGAAAGCCCTATATGGTCAGGGACCTACATACCTGAGCCCAACTCACAACACGCCAAATTAACTACAGTCGTTCTGGGCTTAGGAGGCATCCGGCCACTGCCCTCTTTCCAAACCAGAGGCGGGCAGAGAGTCCAAAGGTTAAGCAGATGGAGAGGAGAGAAAAACATAACATCCTTTCCGGGTGCCCCAGAGCCCCGGGTGATGGATTTCTGATCCCTGTTCCACAGATGGCTGCCCTCAGGAGCCCAGGTTTTCCTCTCCCAAGTCTCTGGTGCTTTAAAAAACAATTCTAAGGTTGAGGTCCTATAACATGAACGCTGCCTGTTGCAGCCAAGTTTCAGTGAATCATTTATTTCCTGGGGTGGGGGGGCAAAGCTTGACTGAAGCTACAGTCTCTAATCCACAACAACGTGAGAGGGAGCAGCATTTGGCCCGCGTTCAGAGGGCCCTTCACTGTACACCCCTTTCTTTCAAAAGTTCCAAGCATTTGGAAACTGATCCTGACTGATAATTTCTGTACTTGAGGGCTGAGCACTCAGAGGAAAAAGAAAATCATAACGTTTATTAGTAAGGGGGCTAGGTGGACTTAAGGCACATTCAATAAGAATCCTGCATTAAAACTTGAATAAAGCCTTCGCAAAAAGCCGAGTTACAATGAGCAAGGATATTTTTTACACATCACTATTTTGTGAAGCATCTGTATTGTGTCCTACATTTACCTGTCAGTAGCCGATTTATCGGCCCATTTGTGACCTATGAAAATAAGAAGCAGCCTTGAACTAAGGTGAAGCCTAAATTGGCAGCCGCCCTTCCCAGGTCTTCCCCAGCGCCTGCTCGCCAAGACCCTTTCCCTGAACCTCAAACCCTTCGGGATATAAAACGGGTGCTCTGCCCAAGGCACCCCAAGTCACCAGGATAGATCCACCAAGCTGCCTTCCACGGAGACAGACCAACCAGCCAGTTTGGTGTCGTGGTTAGGTGTGCGGACTCTAACCTGGGAGAAGCGGGTTTGATTCCCCACTCCTCCTCCACTTGCACCTGGCTGGACGACCTTGGGCAAGCCGTAGTTCTCATAAGAGCTGTTCTTGAAAAAGAGCAGTTCCTGTCAGAGCTCTCTCAGCCCCACCTACCTCACAGGGTGTCTGTTGTGGGGAGGGGAAGGGGAAGGAGTTTGTAAGCTGCTCTGAGACCCCTTCGGGTAGTGAAGGGTGGGGTATAAATCCAATCTCATCTTCCTCTTCTTCTTCTCTTCGTTCAATATTAGCTGTTCTCCAGGTAGTCAGAGAGGCCACGGACTGAACCTCCAGCACTGAGCCCCATAGGAACGCATGGAGCAGCCTTACCAAGACTCAGACCCGTGGTCTGCGTGTCCCAGTATCGTGTCTACTCTGACCGGAAGAAGGCAAGGATGGAGCAGTGACCTGTAAGGAGACCTAACAGGCAGGCAGCCTCCTCTGAGGACAGGGAACTCTCCGGTGTCTCTACGAATTCCCCCGTCACACCCAAAGTAGGAGTGTGGCAGAGTTATCACCACCACAGTCACTTCGAATGAAAGGAAGGAGGCAAGGTCTGAGCAAAGAGTCATGCAGAGGTGGAGCAGGCAGCCTCCTGTGCAGAACAGGTATGTTTGGCTCACAGGAATCTTTTCTTATATAACCAGTGGGTTTCTCATGGCACACAGTCTGGAAATCAGTGGTTTCAGGACAGATCAAAGAAAGAACTTTCCTCACCCAGCGCATACAAATTTGCAGCCACGAGACGTGGCAATGTCTGGTGAGTCTTTGTAACTGGAGGACGCAGGCATGTTGGCAATTACTTCAGGTGCAGAGGCAGTAGACCTCTGACCACCAAATACTAACAAATTACAGCAGGGCAGGCTCCGTCCGTCCATACACCCACCTGCACCCTGAAGTTGACTGAGGAGGCCCAGCCGCAGCAAGCCACAGGGGTGGAGGGACATTTGACGGGGGCTTTCTCAGCTGCCACCCTCAAAAGAGCCAGATTCTTCTAAGCCATTGACTTCAGGGACTTAGAGAGCCAGTTTGGTGTAGTGGTTAAGTGCGTGAACTCTAATCTGGGAGAACCAGGTTTGATTCCCCACTCCTCCACATGCACCCAGCTAGGTGACCTTGGGCAAGCCGTAGTTCTGATAAGAGCTGTTCTTGAAAAAGAGTCATTTTTGTCAGAGCTCTCTCAGTCCCGCCCGCCACAGGGTGTCTGTTGTGGGGAGGGGAAGGGAAAGGAGTCTGTGAGCCGCTCTGAGGCACCTTTGGGTAGTGAAGGGCAAGTTATAAATCCAATCTCTTCTTCTTCTTAGAAGTGTGTGTGTAACTTTGCTTAGGATGGCAAGGTCAGCCTCTGGGGTTTGCTTCTCCACGGATTATGTATGAAACCTTCACTTCCAGCAGCCACTGAAAACGACTGAAAACGGGTTTATCGCAGGCCTTTTAAATCTAAACTCCTCCCCTGCTTTTACACTGCACTTTATTTTAACATGTCTATTTCCTTCATTTATACCCCACCTCCCCCCCCCGCCCGGTTGGGATCCGAAGCAGCTTACCTCATTCTCCTCTCCTTCATTTTATCCTCACAACAGCCCTGTGTGGTAGATTAGGCTGGGAGAGGGTGACTAGCCCAAGGTCACCCAGCAAGCTTCCACGGCAGAGTGGGGATTCGAACCTGGATCGGCCACATACTAGTCCAACACTCGTAACTCTGTGGCGATATGTACTTTCCCAGCTTTTAAGAAATCGTGGGGGGGGGGGGTTAGCATGAGTGTTCTGTTTATTATTTTGCAATTAGAGCTGTGAGCAGTTCTGAGCTCCTCTGAACAACTGCCAAATTGGAATGGGAGTATAAAGTCTCCTAAATAAACAGAAGCAAAACACTTTTAGGGGATTCCTTTCAAAGCCTCTTTCAGCCCCTCTTTTGGAGCTACCTGGCTGCTCTTCAGAGGGGTGGGGGGTATCAGCAGTGCTATCTTCCAGCAACATCTTTGGTGAGAACTATAGGTAAAGATTTCCCTTGCTCAAAAGCCAGTTGAATCCGACTCTAGGGGGCGGTGCTCATCTCCGTTTCCAAGCCGAAGAGCCAGCACTGTCCGAGGATGTTTCCATGGCCATGTGGCCGGCATGACTAAACGCCAAGGCACACGGAACGCTGTGACCTTCCCACCGAAGCGGCACCTATTTATCTACCTGCAATTTCTTGCTTTCGAACTGCTAGCTTGGCAGGAGCTGGGGCCAGAGGCGGGAGCTCACTCCATCACGCGGCACTCGGGTCTCGAACTGCCGAACTACAGACCTTCCAGTCTGCAGCTCAGTGTCTTAACCTCTGAGCCACCGCGGCCAGCTCACAATTACTGCAGTTCACAATGCACTACCAGTGCACAATGACTGCTCTCCCATCCCTGGACCTTCCCCACATTTGCCAAGACGCACATGGCATACAAAACACGGGCACATGCTTTCTCCTGCTCCCCTCCCCCCACGGTTCCAGGCTGGGACTTCTTGACACCCCAGCGCGGTTAAATATAAACCAGCTCCTTGTCAGGTGCCTGCCACTTCTGCTGGCCGGAGAAAGGTCACCCTTCTGCGTAGCAGGAACAGGGGGGGGGGGGGGGGGGGGGGGGGGATTGCTGTGCTGCAGGGCTTTCTGCAGACCCCGAACAAAAGCCCCGTCTCATCTGTTACTCCTGTGTTACTCCTCACACTTTGCATTTTTATGACGTTCCACGGCGTTGTTTTCGCGTCTCTGCACCACTGCTTTCCCCCCAGCATACAAAATCCTTTCTTTTCGTTTCTTTTAACAAATTCTGATGTATCCTGTCTACCCTTTCCAAGAATCTGGCAAATATACTTGTGCGGGGTCTGTTCCGTGCGGCGCTCCTGGGCTGGAATCTAGCGGTTCTCCTCCTGCAGTGCAGACCGACAGGGCTCCCTCCCTCCTCTCTGGAGCTCGGAGCCAGCCAGATCCTCCCCGGGCGGGCAGGAGGGGCCCGGTTGCTGCCACGACCTCCCAGGGGCCCGGAAAGGCGGAGGGGAGGGGAGGGGCGGGCGGTCCACTTACCCGGCTGCGCTCTCTCGCTCGCTCTGCCCTCTCCTCTCGCCTTTGTTGTGATGCTAGAGAGGAGCGGCGGGCAGCTCCCTGGCCCGCCGCGGGCACCCAGCGCCTTTCTGCCCTCGCCCTCTCGCTGCTGCCGCCGCCATGCGCACAAAGCCCCGGCGCGCACGGCTCCCCGCGGCTAGGGCGCCTCTCCTCCGCTGCCCACTTGCCCGGAGGAGGAGGAGGCGGAGGAGCGCGTAGGCCTCGCCGGGAGACCCCCTCCCTCCCTCCCTCCAGTGGCCGGTGGCGCTCCCAGCTGATCTCGGCGCCCGGACTCTGCTGCCGGGCACCCAATGGCAGCGGCGTCCTTCCTGCCGGCCCCCTCCCCTGCTGCAGCAGGCATGCATATGCAGGAGGAGGAGGAGGCCAAGCCGCGGCACTCTCGGCCCCTCCGCGTCAGAGGCAGCAGCAGGGGACGCCTAGCCAGCGCCAGCGGCCGCCTTGCCCCTCTCCGCCCCCCTTCCCAAAACGAGCAACCCTTGGCCTCAGGCCCCACTCAGGCGTCGCATCGGGGAAGGCGGCAGAATAACAGCCGGTCGGAGGCGGCCACGCCCACCCGTGTTCCCTCTAAGCTGAGTGAGGGTGAGCGAACGCACAGTTTTCTAGCCTCCGGCTCACACATTTCCCCCTTCGCTCAGGAAGGAGGGCTCCAGAGCAAACTGATTGATGCAGCGGCCCAATAGCTCGCTCACAACTCTAATGCCGGTCGCTTGCAAAGTAGGATTTTTGCTCACAAGACAACGCAGCTTAGAGGGAACATTGACTCCCGCCCTCCTGCTTGGCGCTAGCTGGCCACCAGCAAAATGTTAGTGGGCAATTTATCATTCACAGATCAGCTATTAATAGAGTTTCCTACGCTCCAGTGTAGTCACTTCTTGGTGAGGAATGGATGCAGTCCCGATAACTAGCTGCAAAGAGCAGAGCCTCACCTGAGGGGGGGGGCCTCTATGGAACATCCCCAGGGCTTGTGCATTTCAGAATCTAAGCCGCCGCTGCCGCCACCTCTGGGTATGTGAGATATTGGCCTACACCATAACAAAGACTCTTTTCTTAAAGAAGAAACTAGCTCAAGATCCATCAGTAACCACGGATGATCCAGGTAAGACAGACCAATGTCTGTTTCAGGCAAGCACTGCCAACTCCAGGGGCAGGTGGCTGTTTCTTGCAGGGGGCAGAAGGGAACAGGTTCCCCACCAGTGCTCCCTCTAAGCTGAGTTAGACTGCGATCACACACACTAAATCATCCACTTTCAATGCACTCTCCAGCTGGATTTTCACGGTGTGAACTGGCAAAACCCAATTCAAAAGTGCATTGGAAGTGGATGATTGAGTCTGTGTGATCGCAGCCTACGTGTGAGCTAGCTCACAGTTTTTTAGCCTCCGGCTCACACATTTTTGTCTTAGAAAGGATGGCTCTAGAGGCAACAGATTTATGCAGTAGCCAAATCGCTGGCTCACAACTTTAAGGCCAGGAGCTCACAAAGTAGAACTTTTGCTCACAAGACTCCACAGCTGAGAGGGAGCCTTGGCCCCCACCCGGAGGTCTGGACCTGGCCAGCCGAGTGGGAGTGTGCCTTTCCCTCCCCCCCCACCCCCCAGCAGGATCTAAAGGATCCAGAGTGTGGAGGAGAGGAGACACTCTTCAGTCAAAGAAATGGCAGGCTGGGAGAGCTGGACCTTCTTTTCCCCAGAACCTCAGCCCCAGTCCGCATCAGGCCCTCCCTACAGCTAACTTTTTTTTCCAAAAACAATTTATTAGGATATATTATTAAATCAAATACATATTATATTCTTAGTTGTCATACATCCTTCCTTCTATTCTACTCCCCCCCCCCTTGGCTTCCCACAGTGCTCCAACCTCCCAACCCAGTTCTTAAATTTTCTTCTATTTTCTTTTATCTTATAGTCATAATCTATCAGTAACATTTCTTTCACCTATTGTTCTCTTATAATTAACTTTTTTCTAATAACACGTACTTTTCAATAACTGTCAAAGCAAATTAAATTGTCCTTTACATCCCAATATTTCTCTAGGTAATCTTTGAAATCTTTCCAGTCTGCATAGAATTCTTCTGCTTCAAGATTCTTAAGTTCCCTTGTCATTTTGTCCATTTCAACCATAAAGATTAATTTCCTTATCCAGTCCCTGATTTCCGGAATTCTATCTTGTTTCCAGCATTGAGCATAAGTCATTCTAGCCGTTGTAATCATATACCACATCAAGGTCCTTTCCCCCACATTGACTTCTTCCATTTTAAGTCCCAACAATAATCCTACAGCTAACTTTTAAGGCAAAGCACACACTGGGATTTCCAGCTGTGGGGCTCCAGCGCCAGATGTAGCTTGGCCCCAACCCCAGGGAAGCAGGCACCTCAAAAGTCCGCTGACAATCTGGAAAAGAGAGCTCTTTGATAGGCATGGCTCCTTCCCCCCCCCACTACCTGCTGCCTCCCTCCCCCTTATCTGTCTCCACCACCAGTGAGCCCTCAGCTCCTCTGACAGGCTGCAACTTCTCCTTCCCACCTCTGCCCTATCATCCTTGCAAGCAAGCAAGATAAGGTTATCTCTAACATTTGCTATTGAACATTCTCTGTATTAACACCCAAAGGGCTGTGATATATTTTTTTTAATTTAAGGGAAAAAATCTGTCTGCTGGAAGATCAACGGGGATTTGAGATATTCCTTTCAGAAGATAGCAGACCTGTGCAACTGAGAAGTGGAGTACGTTCTGCTGAAAGCATGGCTTAAGCGATTGAGAATGTCAGGGGGCAGGGAGGGAAAAAAGGGAAAGGGTTTTTTTAAAGAACGAAGGAGGCAATCGAAGACTTCCTTGCTCAGATGATGCGGCTGACATCATTTCTGAAGATATAAAAGGGAGTTCCATTTGAAAATCAAAATCCCTTTTCAGAGACACCCACCCATTCCGGGCTTAGTACACCTTTACGACTTCCCAGTTTCAATGGCGGGTATATTAGAGGAATCGTCTTCTCCTGGTGAGCCCGCCTATCCACCAGCTGAAATTGTTATTGCAGGGCCTTCTTTCTCTTTTTGCCTTTACCTTGGGAAGCTCGGCAGTATATACCGGAGCCCGAGCCATCCCTTTGGTTGTGCCTCGTTTATGTAATGGACAGGGCTGTGGCTCACTGGCAAAGAGCACCTGCTTGACACACCGGAGGTCCCAAGCCCATCCCCAGCAGCATCTGCTGTTGTGTTTTATGAGGATATTTATAATGATGGTTATATCTGTTATTTAAAGGTAAAGGTAAAGGTTCCCTTGCTCGAAAGCCAGTCGAATCCAACTCTAGGGTTGCGGTGCTCATCTCCGTTTCAAAGCTGAAGAGCCAGCGCTGTCCGAAGATGTTTCCATGGTCATGTGGCCGGCATGACTAAACACCAAGGTGCACGGAACGCTGTTACCTTCCCACCGAAGTGGTACCTATTTAAGGTAAAGGTTCCCTTGCTCAAAAGCCAGTCCAGTCCGACTCTAGGGTTGCAGTGCTCATCTCCATTTCAAAGCCAGTGCTGTCCAAAGACGTTTCCATGGTCATGTGGCCAGCATGACTAAACAGCAAGGCACACGGAACACTGTTCCCTTCCCACCGAACTGGTACCTATTTATCTACTTGCAATTTCTTGCTTTCAAACTGCTAGGTTGGCAGGATATCTGTTATTTACTGGTTGCAATTTTATATAAGCCGCCCTGAGCCTGCTCTGGCGGGCAGGGCGGGGTACAAAATCAAACTAAATAAATAAAATAAATAAATCTCCCGTTAGAGGAGCTCAGGTAGGAGGTGCTCCTCCTGGGACCCTGGAGAGCTGTTTCCTGTCAGGGCAGACGATACAAAGGAATGGGATGGGGCCCAGATCAATCTAGACACAGATTAATGTGCCCTTACACATTCTAAGTCTGGCCTGGGTCCTGCAGACTGGTTAACGAATGTTTGGTCACTAAGGAGACACACAAGTGCCAATGCCTTGCTCCATCGACACAATAGCAGCAAGAGAAAAGAACCACGTCCCTGAGAAGGGAAGAGGCAGAAGCTCTGAGGCAGCCCTTGGTCCAAGGAGCTGTTGCAAATGGGCCACTCTGCTGCAGTCACAGATCTTATGCCAGACTCAAGTCGACCCATGGATTCCTCTTGCCTTGTTCCGTCTCCTCTCCAGGGCTCCCTCAGGCAGAGAAAGGCCTTTCCCAGCACCGGCTGCTAGCTGAGATCCTTTCAGAGATGCTGAACATGGGACATGCAGTGTACAGAGCAGATGCGCTCCCACTGAGCTCTGAGAACTCTGACCTTGAGAGTCAGACCCGTGGTCTGCCTAGTCCAGCAGCTCTCCAGGGTCGCAAGCACATCAAGGTCTTGCAGAGCTGTCTGCGATAGCTGCCCGGGACTGACCTTGGGGCCCCTCCTATGATCCTCTGCTTTCCAACTAGCCTGCCCTACACCTTGGAAAGCCGGCGAGGCATAGTGGTTAGACTTTGCCAGGCTAGGACAGGGTCCCCAGCCTTTTTGGGCCTGCTGTGGGCACCCTTTGAATCCTGATACAGTGTGGTTGGACTGTAAGGAAGGCTGAGTGCCGAAGAATAGATTCTTTTGAACGATGGTGCTGGAGAAGACTCTTGAGAGTTCCCTGGACTGCAAGGAGATCAGATCAGTCAATCCTAAAATACATCAACCCTGACTGTTCCCTGGAAGGCCAGATAATGAAACTGAAGCTCAAAGACTTTGGCCACCCAATGAGAAGGGAGCCCTCACTGGAGAAGACCCTGATGCTGGGAAAGACTGAAGGTCAAAGAAGACGGGGACGGCAGAGAATGAGATGGTCAGACAGTGTTATCAATGCAACGAACATGAAATTGAGCAAACTCCAGAGGATTGCGGAAGACAGGAGGGCCTGGCGTGAGGTGGTCCACGGGATCGCAAACAGTCGGACTCGACTGTGCGACTGAACCACAACAAACACAGTGTGGTGGACATGGCCATTTGCCACCAAACGGCTGCTGCAGGATGCAGAGTCAGCTACAAAACGGGAGCTGCAGTTTACCCTGCAGTCACACTGGGAAGCTCCTTGTGCTGGGGTGGCAGCTGCTGCCAAAGTAAAGTTTTTAAATATCTGCAGCAGCCAGTCAAATCACCAACGGCCAATCAGAAGCCGCGCTGGGCAAAAGCCCCTA